GGCCGGGAGCTCGCGCGCACGCCGCCGGTGATCGCAGGCAGCTGAGCCACTACTTTTAAAAGACATTTTTTTGTGTTTGGATTGTAGGAGTATTGTAATACTGTCCAGCTAGATTCTGGGATAGATTACCGGAAAAGGGAACTCCCTGCTGCAGGAAAACTCTACTACCTGTAAGTGTGTTTTTTAAATTTAATTTTAAAGTTTAATATCTAATAAGGAAAAATAAGTACTTTAATAATTAGAGCATAAAAAACTAGTTCTGAAGCCCTTGGTTTTTTTACACAAAATGTTACTATGTTAACTTCTTTAAATTGTGTTTTTGCCATCCATATTTGCATCATTTATAATGTGTGATTGGGTGAAACCCTAATTAGTTTTTTTGGGAGGAGTGATGACAGATGGTTCGGAAGTAATGAGTATCCTCTTTAAAAGAGTCTCTGATATTAAGAGAATATCTTTAATGTGCTAAAGTAATTAATTATTTGTGGACATCTTCTGACAACTGTGCCATCTCCACTCTTCCCAAATTGTTGTTTTATTTTGTCAGGCAATCTGTTTTTATTTATCATGGTTGATTGACTTCCACACATAACTGATATAAAATATATACTATACACAAATACAACTGGGTATATTTTAAAGTCTTTTAAAATAAGATTTTTCTGAGTAGGAACAATTTATGGTAATAGATGTATTCAGCACGTGCAGTTAATGCTGAAAAACAAATACAATTTGTTTTAAAATGTCATTTGTGAGCATCTGAAAAGGAAAAAATGCTTTACAAATGCAAACTGTTGTTTAGTATATGCCAACAGTGTTTGGCACATAGTGGGTTCTCAGTAAATAGATCTGTCTAAGGGCTAATTGTAATTTAACTAAAAGGCATGTTTCGGGTAATTTAAATTTTGATGACAACGTGCATATGAGAGGTTGAGAAAAGTTCTTGTCTCTGCCACCTTGTAAGCAGAAGTACTTACTGTTTTTGACGTAGAAATTAGCTAGAAAAATCACATAATTAAAATTACATACTTTACTATGCGCCAAAGGGACTATTTCAGTTTACTATTCAGATTTAGATGATTAATATAGGAGGTTCTTCATCGACCCTTAAGTACTTTGTCTTTAAAGTACTTTATAATTTAAAAAAAATCTTACAGTGCTATTTTTCGCTTTAACTTGGATTTTTTCTTTTTTTCTACTTTCTTTTATCTTAGTGTTTTCTGGTTATATAACTTTTATAATATTCATGACATTTTCCTGATTTTTTGCTACCTATTTCTTCCTGCCTGTGATATTTATAATTTATATTATTCCTTTTATTCTTTTTTTTTCCAAAGGAGGAAATACTTATTCCTTGTTTTCCCACAAAGTATATTTCTAAGTGGCAGAATTAAAATATTTTCTTAATGGGAAGTTTCTTAAATAACAATAATGGGTCTAAATCATGAAATATGTTTCATGATGCCAAAGAGGTCTTGGTGGGACTTACCGAGGTAAAAAAAAAAAAGCTGTGTTTGCTGGGAGAATAGCCACTTTCTCTTTCTGAATTACTCATGTTGCCCCTTGTACTTTCTGATAAAGATAAAATGATTCTAACATAGTAAAATTCATTTTTATTCACAAGACATGAGCTGAAGGAAAATAGACTCCCAGAGTCCAGGAAACTAGAATTTCTAACAGATACTGTGAAACTCAGGAAAAGTTTTCTTTAAAAAAATCTCCCCCTTTAGCTAGCTAGGTAGCTAGATGGATTCATTTACTTCTGAAGAAAGATGTATCTGTTTATAAATTTAGCATCAACAGGGCTTGATCATATTCAAAACCATAGAGAATTTTGGGCTCACCTCAGTCAGAAGATAAAGCAGGTGTATTCTTGAAGGGATTTTGGAATTAAAGTCATCTCGTAAGTGTGAAGATAGTAATAGATACCAAGATGGGATGCTCGGGATGTACATTTTAATGTTTTACATGAACAATCAAGTAGAATGTCTTTCATGGCAGAGTAAAAGAAAATTTCCTTAGGTCATATTAATATTTCTTATTTAATTAAGTTCTTTTTATCTTGCTCTTACGAGGGAAACTATTAGTTTCCTCCCCTGTAACAGACTTTAATATGCTGTGTTATATATTGCCTTGTGATAACATGTGTTTCCCTTTACTACCCTCTGGCCAAACATCTGGACTTAGTTCCTGAATATGCGGTCCAGACAACCCCCTTGTCAATTTCACTGGAGCCTAACTGCCTGAAAAGAAAAACAAAATTCCAGCTTCCCTCCAGGGGAATGCCAAGCACTATCTCTGAATTTCATACAAAGTAGAGTCCGAGATATGATTCTTAACTAAATATAAATATTTATTAACTCAATGTTTTACTAGTCTAACTTTGAAAAGCCAATTAAAAATGTCCAAAAGTAAAATCCATAACATCAAGAATTCCCAGAGATTTAAAAAACTGCTCCTAAAGTTGACATAGAACAATTCTTATTGTTTATAATATTGTCTGGTTTCCACAAGTACTACTTCATACAAGACATTGTGTGTTCATTTGTAATCTGTTTCAGTTGGAATTAAATTAAACTAATTAAATTAAATTACAAATTCCTGGAGTAGCTTTCTAAGTAAATTTCAGCTGTTTTGGGCCCAGCCCAACAAGCTTTTTATCTCATATACAACAAACTTAGAAAACTCAAATTTAGCAAGTTAAAAACCGCAAAGAACTTGAGTGTGAATACCTAAAGTTTTGCATGGAATCAACCCATGGGTGTCCAGTTTTTCACTGTCTGATGACTCCCCAGAATAGCACAGTAAGTTTCTTCCTGGTTGCTTGTGAATAAGGCTCAATGAGATCCTCCTATGAGGAGAATGGTTGGCCAAAATCCGAACAGGTCAACCAAGTATTGGATGCCATGTTTGTATCTAGGTGGGGACTTGATCCAGTAATTTATTTTGAACCACCTAACCACCTGAGGTTTGTCAAGGTGACCCCATCTCATGCCTTCCAGAGAATGTGTGATGATGATGATGATGGTGATGATGATGATGGTGAAGAGCTGCGAACTGAATCCATGGCCTTTGCAATTAGCTATATCCCCAGCTCTTTTTATTTTTTTATTTTGAGATCGATTCTCATTAAGTCACTAAGCCCAGTCTGGACTGGGCTTGAATTTGTGATCCTCCTGACTTAGTCTTGAAGTGTGCTAGGAATACAGCATGTGCCACCACATCCAGCTCCTCCCAAAAAATTTAACCACTGTAGATTCTCTTTAGAATCTCTGCTTGTGGGCTCGTGACACTAGAGGTCATCATTTTATTTTTGCAATGAGCATATCTTTTCAAACAGGAGACATCACTGTTGGGGGCTCGTGGGGATGCTGCCCCAGACTGTTTTGCTGCCATTTCTGTGAAGGGTTCCTGGAAAGAGTTCAGGTAACCTCTGCAGTCATGTGAGTGGGTAGACTGGGTGACATTGTGTCATCTCTCAAGGTTGCACACAACAAGCATAATTTTGAGAAGTGGTCAGGGCCTTTTATATTCAGGAGCTGAATAATATTCCTTTTTCTATTAAGTCTGTGGAAGGACCTGGGGTGGAGATGTTTCATATTCAAATGCTGTGTCTCCATCATACTCACACAGAAAGCCTCCATGTGGGGATTATGGATCACCTTGCAAATAATGAAAAATACAGTTTACAATGTTTTAGATATAATTCAAATACTTTTTTTTTTTTGTACTGGGGATTGAACCTAGGGGATTGGGTGCCAGGCAAGCACTCTACCACTAAGCTACATCCCCAGCTCTCCAAATATAGACATATTTTTCTTGATTAATATATACATACATTCATCCATCTTTTTTTTGTTTGTTTGTTTTGGAGACAGGGTCTCGTTCTATGGTTCATGCTGGCCTTGAACTCACTATGTATTCCAGACTGGCCTCAAACTCATGGTGATCGTCTTGCCTCAGCCTCCTGAGTGCTAGGATTACAGGTGTGTGCCACCACTCCCAGAGGTATATTCATCTATCTTTTGAGGAGAGGTTCAACTTTAAAAAGAAGCTTTTTCTTAAATACTTTTATCAGAAGAAAATTCTAGTCACAAAAAAATCAGTTTTCCATTTGGGAAATACAGGAACCAACCTATGAGCTCAAACCTGACCAAGGGGTAACAAGGACAAAAAGTAGAGACACAGAATCAGGTTAAAATGTGGAGGACTAGGGCACTTTTGTCTTCTTTTGACAGAGAGCCCTGAGTGACTAGTGTGCTTAGGCTTTATTCACTTAGATGCAGGTACAAGCAAGTAGAGTTACACAGAATTCATCTGTCTCCCACCTCCGTGGTACTTGTCCACCTAAACAGTGGATCTCAGCTGTTTTTACTTTCCCTGTAGTGTGTCAACACACTTGCATGCTGCTTTTCTTGTTAGTGTTCCCCAAGGGTGTCAACGAGGCCTCAGCCTTCCTATCTGGTCTCCCACGGGGAAACATCTATTCCAAATAGAAAATAATTTTGGAGAATATATCTTTGAACACAATTAAAAAAAAATACAACAGCTGACAAAAAAAACTTGGTGCTTTGAGATTATAGCTCTGTTTTAAAAGAAAGATCTGTGCAAACCAAGACTGAAGCTCATTCTGGCTATAACTGAAGCTCATATTTCCTCACAATTGACGATGTCATATTTTGGTCTGTGATATTCCTTACAAACACTCCTTCGTCTCCAACTTGAGAGAACTAGATCAATGAAAATTTAAGTATTTCTTAGCTTGATTGCCACATCTTCCCACCCCTAAAACTTTGGCAGAATTTCTCCCTGGAGCATCACCACTTCCTCAACCAACTAGGGTGTCTAGGGCATCTTAGAACCCTCTTCCTTCTCTGTGACTGTAATTTGTTGCAGTTCCTTGTATCAGACTGTGCAGAGACCCAATTGAAACAATTTCTCTCTTATTAAAGCAAAGTTTTCATGGTCTTAGGCCAAATATAGGCCAGTTATCTCCTTCCTTGGATTTTCTCATCTATCATAGGTACTCAACTATTTGCCTTGCAGGGGTGGAATGTGTGGAGAAAATTAGTTTGGGCCTCATATAAAATACATGTATATAGTTAATGTCTAAAAATAACAAAACTGCCTTTATTTTTTGTATTTTTATCATAACATTTAAAAAGGAAGG